AAAGAGTGGAAGACCAAAGATTGGGGACTAGAAAGGTCAAGGAGAAGGCAAGATGCTCATGGACTAGAGTGGTGAGCTTGGCAAGGAAGAACCCAGCTGGGGTATGAAGCCCACAACAAGAAAAAAAGAAAACCTAGAGCTTAGCCTCATTTTATTTCCTTTCACTCAAAAGCAAGGCACTAAACCCTACATTTTTTTAAAAAATTGATTACTTGAACATAATGAGATGTAATATCTCAACCGATCCACTTCCTTAATTACAGAAATTGTTTTATCTTATATTATTGTTAAATCCGACATTGTCCTGTAAACCACGCATAAGGAATGGAGCGTAGGAGAGTGAAAGAGAGGGAGAGAAAAAAAGAGAGAGAGGGAGAAAGAGAGACTATAATAGTTTGAATAATCCATTAACCTTTCATTATAGAAATGACCCTCTATTTATAGAAACAGGGGGTGTGAAGTATACAATTATTTGTTTACTCCAGTTTGAAATAAGGAAATAATAGAGCATTTTAGTCATAAACAAATATATGAATAAATAAAATATAAAAGGATTTAATATTTGGTTGTCACATCCTTCAGTCATCTAAGGCGGAGGTTTTTGGTTGGTTCATCTCAGGGTCTTCGGTTGGTCGAACTATGGGCCTCTGATCGAACGAATCGAGGGTCTTTGATCAGTCATGCTGTGGATATTTAGTCAGTTAAACTGTGGTTCCTCGATCATCCAAGTTGTATGGACCTTTCGTCGACCAAACTATGAATCATCGATCGATCGGCTCTCATGGTTCAACTAGAATAACTGCTCCCTTTGAACGGAAATCCTGCTGCTAAGATGAGGCTAGATTGTCGGGCAGAGGGCACTTTACCGTAATTCGACAGGTAGCCCCACCTCTTTAATATGAAAGCTGCTAGGCAAGTTTGTGTTGGTGTAGCATCGAATGCTAGTAGCGTTGAAGGGCCTTGAGATTCTTTCTGAGACGTCTAGTGTTGTCATTTGAGGAGTACAGCAGTACAGCTCTCCTTCTGGGATGGGTATTCCCTGGTGCTTGTCCTAAGGGGTTATTGCTCAACAAGTCTTGTATAGTTTTTAGGGAGACCATGGTTAGGCATCGAATTTCATGGGCTCACATTAATGTGACATTTGACTTCTGGTGGGCCATCTTTGACCAAGTTTGTCTTTTGGGCGATAAAATTTATCAGAGATTCATGTTAACATATCATGGGTGTACATATATAGTTCCTCGGATTCTATTACTTCTTGAAAGTCGTGTTGCAATAAGAACAAAAAAATTTAATAGAAAAAGCACATTCATGTCAAAACCAATGCTTTAATAATAGAACTCCTTGAATTTTTGCATCCACAGCCTTCTATAAATAGGGCGCAAAGGGCGTCATAGTCATTTATATTTCCTGTGAGTGCATAGGTTCGACCGTCTAAGTCTGAGTGGCTGTAATGGTGAGTGGAAAGAAATCTCCATCAGATGCCCCTCCTGAGGATGTGCTAAGGGAGTCCTTCGGAGGGAGTGGACCCGAAAGTGTGAAGAAGCCTGTGGAGGCAAGGTGGTCGGAGGAGAAGACCTGACACGGAGGAGTAAGACAAAAGAAGCAGTTCACTTCGAAGAAAAGACGGATGGTGAACTTCGACGAGGTAGGATCTTTTGACTCGTTCACTCCCCAACCATAGGGAAGCAAGGAAGGTTGCCCGTGGGTTTGCCAACTGCACCTTCGGTGGTGGCCCACGATTCCCAGCTGAGTAGCTCCTAAGCCCAGGGCAGCCTCGAAGTGAGGCTGTTGGAGTTCCCAAAGGGCAGACCCTTGCTCCACCACTGAGCCTGTGGCTCCGGAGTGGAACTTCAGGAGAGAGTCGGCTCGTGTTGCGTTTGACCCTAGTGAGTTTCCCTTCAATCAGATGGTTAGAATTGGACCGATACTTGGTTATGTAGAGAAGGTCCATTTTATTTACTTCTTTTTTTATGTTGATGTTTTTTTAATCCAATAGGTGAAACATACGTGGGTGTTGACTTGCCAATGGTAGGCATCGTCTGAGCTTTTGTCTCTGAGTCGACTGGGAGAAACCCAGTTCAGGCACATGGCTGAGCGACCAATGGTCATGGGACTGTTCCCTAGGGAGTTTTTGCAGGGTCTGGTGGTTCACCGTTGAAAGCAATGGTTAATAAGCTTGAGGAGAAGTTGGTGGTTCTGAGGGTTGAACACTCGGTCGAACTCGCGGTTTTGAGGGCAAAGATGGCCGACATTCGAGTGACTTCGACATTCCTCCAAGTCCATGCCTAAGCCGACAATGTGGATAGATTTAGGTTTGGCAGTCCACTGTTATATCATAAGTTGGGTCGGTGGGGACTCCTCTTTCCTGAGGCGGCTGATGACCCACTTGTAAAATACTTTTTATTTGAATGAAATAAAAAATTTTTATCAGTGAAATAAATTTAAATTGTGTACATTTTTTCTTAGAAATTGTCTATTTGATGCTTTCTAAAACTGAGGCGCCGTTTTGAGTAGCTCTTGAAGTCTTGCTGCCACTGTATATAAAAAATTATCAAGGAAAATTCGACGCATTTGAATCTTTCCAAACCCTTCGGTCGGTATTCCCTTCTGGCTTCTTTGCAGTTCTACGTTGGTTTTCAGGAGATGGCAAATAAGTACTCCTCGAAGCGCTTTGGTTCGTTCGCAAAGACAGAGGTGTCGACTATTGGACCAACTGACGTTGCAGCTATCCATGACACTTATGTGTTCAACGTTAGTACCATAAGGGAGGTCGATCGCAATGTTCAAGCGACCGATTTGTATGATACTTATGATTTGTTACAAAAACCAGTTTCTCCTAGGGTTGTGGTTGTTTCTATGTACAGAACTGCGGCCGGTCCTCAACCATTATGGGGTAATTCCGTCCAAAATAAAGCCTAACTCCACCGTGACCATCTTGAATTATGGGTCTATTGCCGACGGATACAGATTTTGTGGTTGCATGAGTTATTTTCTTACATGTTCTCCTTCCGGGTGGAACCCGATGGCTATGTAGTCTTTGGGTTTACGAGGAAATTTCATCTGGTCGGCTTGGAAAATAATATAAAGGATTGAAAACAGAGGTTCGTCATCGGGTCAGCACAAAAGTTTGGGGTGTTGAGTCAGCCGTCCGGAGGAATGTACAAGAAGGAAAGATCATTCTTCGTCCAGATCCGAAGCTTGGACTTAATAGTGGAGGGAAAAATCTTATTAATTGTACGATACACCGATGAGACCATAGTTAATAAGTTTTGAATCCAAGGGAGTTCTGAAAGGAAATGAATACGGAGTTACAGGCAGTGTTTGATGCCATGGAGGAAAAGCGGCAGACAGATAGGCTCTCACAGTCGGAGAAAGAGAAGAGACCACGCTAGAAAGCAGATTGACCTACGAACGAGCCAAAGGAATTTGCTCATCTTGTGGATAGAAGAGTAGAAGGCAACTACTAGATCTACAACCGGGATCTTGAATTCGAATTTACTACACTTTGTATTTGAAACTATAGTCGAAATTCAAAACGTTTCCACTAGCGATTTAGTACTGATCTAGCGAAAGTCGATCATGATAAACTTAGGCAAATGGTCCTGTGAAGAGGAAGAGGATGCTTGGGTCCCTAGCTACCCCGACCAGATGCCAAGGAGTTTTCAAGAGGGCCTTCTGACCGAGTGTCTGCCAGTCCTCGTCAGGTGCTTTCAAGCTTCACGGATGAAGATGATCTTCCCCTGCCCCCGGGGAATAAGATAGAGCGGGCGATTGGAGCCCTATGCAGGAGGAGCCGAATGTTTTTGTTATGAGGGACTTTAGATTTGCTCTTGTTGATATGTTGTTGAATTGGTACTTCAACAGCCCGGGCACGGACAAATATGCTACTACGATCACCAATGTCTTATTGTCCAAAAAAAATTGAAAAGCGTTTGGACAAATATGACCAATGGGAGGTCTGCCGCCTAGTTGACGATTCTAGTTGTTGGGGTTGGCCTCGTCCCACCACATAAAAGCCTAATATCTTGAGGTCAAGAAGTCAAAGACTGAGGTAGTGAAGTGAGTCAGGGTCGTGGAGACTCGAGTGTTGGCAGCTGAAGTAGAGGCCCACTTATCTAAGGTTGAGAAACGAGCGGATGAAGCAGAGGCCTTGTTGGCCTAGGCTGAGCGAGATTTGAAAAATGCGCCGGAGTGGCTATGCATTATATTGGATGACAATGCAGAGCTAACAGAGAGGATTGCAACCATGAAAACCACCACAGAATTTACTTCGAGCCAGCTCAAGCAACTTCGGCTCGAAAGTGCGCTAGCAGTCAACCGGTTTGTACGGGAGCGTCAGGTGGACCTGA